ATCAATTATACAGCTTACAGTGATGAGTCCTTTGTTCATCTGCCCATACTTGTAGTTTACTATGCAATAGTTCTACCTTTTATTGTACTACTGTAAATTCACTGGAATACACAATATTTTTTTGGTGAAAAGTGGAAAGAGATACCAGTATAATCAACTTTCTTTCTGACTCATCTAGATACATCTTAACCTCACATTAGTGACTCAGTTAACTGTACTGAGATTTTAAAGAGGAACTTTAATATTTGGAAGTGTATGCATTATAAAATAATTTTGGTCTCAATCAGTTTCAAAGGAAAGCAGTTAGTAAATGAGCTTAAACTCACTTGCATCTAAATGTGCTGATATAAAACTAAATGTTTTCATGTGCTATGTTAATTGTTCAGTTAGGTAATTTTAACTGTTAATGTGATCAGGTTCTCTGTAACAATGATTTGCGTGAACCTGGCATGAGACTTCTCTTGTCAAGTTGCCTGTGTAGGAACTGTGGAATCAAACCTAAATGTAGTAAATCCGGAAGAATTATGGACTGCTCTCCATTCGATAGAGTAACTATGTGAGTCACTGCTTAATTAATGCAGCTTCATTAATTGCTAGGGATTTTTTTTTTTATTTTGTAGGGGGGTTTTTCTTTCTTTTTAATTCATATGTAATTTAATATTTAAAATTAGAATGGTGGTTGGCTGTGCTCAGTTGCACAAAAATTCAGATAGATGTTCTCTTCACTGATAAAGATGAAGACTTGCAGAAACCATCTGGACTTTGATTGAAAAGAACCGTTACAAGAACTGGGGAAGCACAACAATGAGATTTATAGCAGACATAACTACAGTATTAAAGCAAAAACCCTTTTGTCATTTTTTCCTAAATAAGATGACAGTAAGATATATCAAGGGAGTGCTGAGTTTAATTGTAACATGGTCTTATTACAAACAGTCAGATAAATTGTGTGCATTAATTATGAAGCAGAGAATTGCATAATAGCCTTTGCCTTTAATTATCTCAATTCTAAAACTCTGTCATGGGATGTTTAACGAACCTGTCTCTCTGTATCAGATGGCATGTGATACAAATTTGTTCTGTTTTTTAGATCATAATTTTTGGGTATCAGGGTCACTGAAACAGGGCAACGTTGTGTAAGCCTGTGATTGAAGGTGTAGCTAGCGTGGTTCTGGTTCAGCTTGTTTACTTGTCTCCGAGTTTATGCTATGTGTCTGGCAGAGGTTTCTGGAAACCATGCAAGTCTTCTGTTGATCAATGTCCTATCCACTCCAATATGTCCTGCTTCCAAAACAAATGCAGGTATGCAAGCTCCTAATATTCTTCCTTTGAACTTTCGTGTGAAAAAGTCATTTGATCTTCACAGAAAATGAACATAAAGGAAAAGAAGCATAGTTGAAACAAATGTGCTTTTAAATTGTGCTGAATATTTGTGGAATACCTCTGTCATATTCATCCACCTCTGTTGACTTGCTGCTAAAGGAAAACTTAGTGAATGTTATTGGATACATCTTTAACAGAATCACTTTTATATCATCCTTTAGACATTACATGCAGGCTTGAACATATAACCAAGTATTTTTATCCAAAGCTAATACACAAATACACAACTTGAATATTTTTATTTATCTTGCACACTTACAGCACTTAACAGTTTCTGAGCTGACGAGTGCTACTCATGGTTTTGTCAAAATCTGTTCTTTCAGGGTGTATGCATTTTTGCAGCAATTTTACTCTGTTGATGCACATGCCCTGTACTCCTAAACAGTCCAAAAGGCTCAAGGTTGCATCATTCTCAATAGATCTTGAATTTAGCTTGGACGTATTTTCTTGCCAAAAAAAAAAAAAAAAATCCTATCAGTAATCTAGTACTCTCTCTTGATCAAGTCCAACCAATCTGAATAAAATAACTTAATATTCATGCTGATGTGCTGAAAGAGCAATATAGAATTCAATGTCATCTTTATTATTATGGAAGTGTCACAATCTACATATAAACATATACCAAAATATACAAACCAATAGGTTTGTATCTCTCATTGCAACTTTCTTACTGTAAGTTCAAAGATAAGCAAAAGTGCTGTCTTCCAGTCCATAGATTTCTAAAAAATTATTCTAAATAGAATGTCACTCTTCTTACTCTGGATTTTAAGATCTAGCTAGCTATCACTGAAGATCATAGAATTAAATGCTGGATTTGTTATTCGTGTCACACTGAAGCCTGAATTATATAAATTTCACCCTCTGTTCTTGTTTTTTTAAAATATTTTATGGTGCTTATGCACTAGGCATAGGAAGTAATATTAAAGATTCCAAGCTATGAAAATAAATTTACAGAAGTAAATAAACTTTGAACCAGAATATTGTAAGGTATCTTTGAAGAAAAAATTTCCTTTGTGTAATAAGTAAATGTTAATTATCACTTAGTAAATATTACCGAAGAATTTGATGAAACACAGATGATTATTGGAAAAAATTATGTTGCTTGATCCTTAAATATTACAAGGATTTTTTTCAATAAATTATATTAAATATTTCCCTTAGTCTACAAGTTTGGGATTACAAGTGCATCTTTCATCATTTGATTTGAACTTCAAGCTCAGAAAACCAGAAAGTATAATTCTAGTTGTATTTTCCTGAAGCTGATGCTTTACTGTTGTACTTAAAATGTTCAACAAAATTAGGCTTACAAACTTTATCAGACATCCGCTGATGTTAACAGAAAGATTGACTCTTATTCTAGCTGGCACTGGTTTGGGCTTTTAGAAGTAAATGGTTTTCTGCTATGCATGTTGAAGTAACTGAAAGTATTCTGGGTTTGTCTTGATGTAAATGACAGCAGAGTTTGGCCATCTTAAATTTTTCATAAAATCATTATACGGTTGATAAGCTCCAGTGTATTCCTGTTCATAATGATATTCAGATACTCCTGCACTCCGAGATCATCCTCCCTAGCCTTCCTGTCCTTTTGGTGTTCCATATTCTGCTTCATGCAATTCACAACAATTAGAATTTTAAAAAAAAGTCTTTGCATCACATAATTATATCTTAAACAATAAGAAACCCAGGGGTAAATTAATTTGATAGCTACAGACGCATTTGGGATGTGTGATCTGCAGGTCTTACACTGTAACGCCGTCATTAAACTGCAGTGCAAGCATATGTTTTTAATTCTTTTGGCAGTGTGGGGATTAAGTTTTGTGTTGACAGGGGGAGCAGCATGTCAGTGCATGATAGGAGTAGTGATACTTATTCCCTAGTTAGGCAAATAAAAATGACAGACTAAGTCAAGCACTGCACTGAACCAGAATGCATTTTTAAATCACATTATTTGGTAAATGAGAAAAGTCTGGTTTTATATAACAATCATTTATTGAAAGACTTTAATGAGATTTAAGCAAAAGGTGAGTAACTGAAACAAAGTCTTAAGAGCAAATTGATCATTTAATAAACCTCAGAATTGTGTTTAAAACACTGAAATCTTAGCAGTATCAGCCATAGTATTTTATCCCTTGGGTAAATAAAGAGTAACGTAGCTGAAGTTGTTGGAATTTCATGGATGTAGAACTACTGTGACAGTTAAGGCTGAAACAGACCTATTTTCCCTCTATTTTAGTTTATGAATTCTGTCCCTCCCTTCCCCATTCATTAATAATATATCCCTGTATGGGGATTAGGTGTATCAGCCTGAGTTTTCCATTAAAGTAGTTCATTTTTTCTCTTTAAATTTATGAATACTTATCAAGGGATTCTGGGTTAGTTAATAGTATTTTCCCTTAATACATACACATGAATCCACATGCACATAATTCTGAAAAATTAGAGGTATCTGTCTTGGGACTAGACTGCTCCTAAGCTCCCTCCAGCAAGCTGTAAGGTAAACATTCCTTAATAAGCAATAGGCAAATAATAATCTTTCCTCCCTCGATGTGAAATGTAGTCAGATTCCTCCCATAAAACTTTGTTTTTCACTTCAAGATAAGGAAACACAGGTAAAAAAACCGTATGAGAACTTCATACATTATCTAGAAAGGGTCTCCATACTAATTTAAAAAGACTGTAAAGTGCTAGAGCTGTTGATGTAAGCTGAAGATGAGAGTCTAAAGCACAAAACCTTCAAAGAGACTTTTGCAAGGGATGGAAATGAGCTGTTAGGCTGCAAGGTTTGCCAAAGATTTGAACTCAAATTATAAGATCGCTTTTTGTTGATTGATGTCCATGTCATTATACTATTCTTGAATTTATCATACATGATAGTTGCATCTTACATATACTGAAAAATTATAAAGTGCATTAAGGTGTAACAGGATGGTGAATCTTTGATGTGCCTGTTTCATACAGGAGAAGTATGGTAGGGCTCTGGAAGACAGCTAACAATGCTTTTGGATGAAATCTTTTTCCCTCACAAAAAAAAAAAAAAAAAAGAGAAGACAAAGGACAAACAATTCCATGTAGCCCTGGAATTCCCTCAACTCTAATTTTAAGGATTCCCTTGCAAAATTATATAAAAGAAATTAGTTTGAATGTTGATAAAGGTCAAGTTTAGCTTATTGAAAACATAGAGGGATTAGCTTTTTTTAAGATATAGCTGTGTCTGTTCAGACCGCAGAGTAGTCCGAGTAGCAGCATAATATAACACCTTTGAAATTTCTCCAAAGCTTCCACTTTTGTCACCAGTCTTTGGTCAAGTGGTTGTTTTAATGTGCTAACACCCACCTCGGAGGCAGTTATCATAAATTATTGCTTGAGGATGCAATGAGGCAAGCTGTACATAGCCATGAGGAACCATCGTATGAAGGTGCTCTGTGGACTGTTAGACTTGATTTCATTTCAGACTAATGGTTTAAAAACAGAAGTTGCATTCTTGTTTGCAGGCAGTTGGGACTTTGCTTTTAAATGTATGTCCAGTTGTGCCTTCCTGTGAAGCTAAAGGAAGTGTTATGTCAAATGATGTAGAATTTAGACTGTAATTCATGTTTTACTTTTGTGTTCTTCTACAGATAGTAACTTCATCCTTGCAAATGCTCAGGTGGCTAAGGGATTCCCTATTGTTTACTGCTCAGATGGCTTCTGTGAGCTTGCTGGATTTGCACGAACTGAAGTCATGCAGAAGAGCTGCAGCTGTAAATTTTTACTTGGTGCTGAGACAAATGAGCAGATGATTCTTCAAATTGAGGAATCGTTGGAGGAAAAGGTAGAATTCAAAGGAGAAATCATGTTCTATAAGAAGAATGGTAAGTTTTTCTTCCCTGATTTGTTAGTCCCAAAGAATGAAACTTAGCATTAATGCATATAATATATAGCATGTATTTCTATGTAATGATTTTGTATGTCTATAATCAGACCTACAAGAATAGATTTGAATAAAGACAGTTGGGTACACATTGAGACTATGTTTATATTAGTGTTACTGATTTTACATAAGTATATGAAAAGTTACAAAGCTGCAAAGAAGAAATTCGGGGTCCTAAACTGCATTGTGAGATACTGTGTTATCTGCACTCAATATGACACCGCATTTTCTACTTTTTCTTATATTGAAGTTCTTACCCCTTATTGTTGAAACTGTAATTAAAAAATTAATACTGACCATAAGGTAGACAGTAGCTATGTAAAATTTTCAGTCCCATCAATAAAATGCTCAGAATTTTGAATGATCCAGGTGACTCATTCTCCACAGCCACTATATATAAATACAATAATAATGATTTTCAAAAAGTGGGTAAGTACTCTAAGTAAAATCTATATTTAAGTATGTATTGTCGCGTAGAAAAATTTCTGAGCGTTAAGCAACTCCATAGACTTCAGTAAACTTCAAGTTGCACCACCAAAGCTTTCACTCCTATGGTAGGGCATTTATAAGGACAATTTCGTGGGCAAGATGAGTGAGCCATGGAAGAAAGCACCCCATGATGCACACTTATCAGCTTGTTTCATTTATATCAGGCTCCTTCAGTGTACCTATTCTGTAAGCGTTTACACTGCCATCATTCATGTGATCTTCAAACGGGTGACACTAAGTGTGAGATCCTGACAGGACTGCAACCACCCCAGTGCTATAGGAACCTTCACATGTGCTTAATGATCCATGGGCTCAATGGATCCATGGGTGCCTGTTGAGTATCACCTTCTGTTTTATTATATGGCTAGAATTTCTAGGCATATGTTTAGGCCACGTGTTTTCCTCATAGATCCTACTTATGTCTTTACTAATGAAACATTTTCCCCTCAAATGTTATTACTATTATATTAAATACTTTAAAATGTTCCTTTCTAAAAGTAATAACTATATATTTACAATAAGATAGTCAGTGATTTAGAGCATTAGGAGAAGGCAGCTTCACTTTCCCTGACTTGTACAAAAAAGAGAAACGTTGCTTAGTTGGCTTGTGTTCATGACTGCGGTTTTTCACAGTATGAAATTTTGAAGTTATTCTGAAGATGCTGGTAAACGCTTCCTCCTCTTGCCTTTTTCAGGAAGCTTGCGGTGGGGGGGGGTGGGTGTTGTTTGTTGTTGTTGTTTTTTAGCATTTAGAAGAGAATCCCGTAGTTCCTTGAACTCATGTTTCAGGAAGGCTATTCAAAGAAAGTAGTTTTAAATTTGTAAATCATGTCTGAATATAGGGAAAAAATTCTCTTAATCTGGAAGGATAAGAGTTGCTTTTCTCCAGTATTGTACAGTGATGAGTGGGCAATGTGTGTAAATTGATTTCAATGTATGTAAATGAAAGAAGTAAAGCTAACATACTCATTTCACTGTCTTGGTCCTGAATGATAAATTGTGATTCCTTTGCACTATGAAGGGGTGCTTCAAACCTATAATATGATTAATGCAGGCAGAAAGAGATTTGCAGGTCAATTTGCTTATCGGTGAAGTAGCTGAACCACAGATAAATAAGTAAAGAGAAATTGTTTAGGATAAAAGAATTCCCACAATCCATCCTATTTGCATCCCTGTGTATAATTTGACTGGAAGCCATTCCAAGACATTTTCTGAGTATGAATAAATTTCCCAGACTGCCTATTTATTATATTTTTCATTTTCATGTATTTCTGTACTACTGGGAAACAGAAATGAATAGATATTGAAATAACATGAGACTGTTCTTGAATAAGAGCAAAATTTATCTTAAAAGATAATCTTGTTTTTTCAACAGAGCTGCAAAGTACAGACAGAAAATTTGGTAAATCATCCATTTTAGCTAAATGTTCTAGGTTTGGGTTTTTTTAGAAGGAAAATGGAACTTCTGAAGCAGTTAGCCTTATTCAACTTTGGCAGAAAAAAAAAAGATGTCTTTGTTGCAGAAAAATGTTTTTAAAATATTTTAAGACATAAGAACTTTGGGAATAATGGTCCAGAATGACTGTATGGATACGATATTGAAAATAATTGTCAGTTGGGCTAGGGCCCAGTGTAATGCCAGGAACATAGGTCAGTGGGAGACAAGTAACTAGCAATGTCTAGTTGTCATACATTTCAGCGTCCCGTTAGGACTTCAGGGTGTCAGAGTGAAACTAGGTATTCTGGCTTTAGTCCACTATTCAGAGGTACAGCCTTGCTCCGTAGGCCTAGTTACAAGACTGAATGAACAGTTTCAGGGATAACCTCAGGATAGAAGTTCAGCCTCAGGGATAATTCTGAGCTCACAGAACAGACTGAAACGTCCCTCAGCATACTTGTTAAAAGCTTAGTAATGACTACAACATTATGATAAGGAATGAGTCTGAGGGAAATGGATGTATGAACACTGTACTTATTCTTTGTTTCTTCTTCTGGATTTGATCTAAAATGTAGAAGCTAGAAATTTGTAATTTTTTTTTTTTTTTTTTGCCCCCCATGTGTGTGTCATCTTTTGGGAAAGAAATTCAAGCTTCCAAAACTGAATATGGGTTGATTTCTTAATTGCCACATTTTTTTATATTTTGAATTTGATTTAAACTCAGTTTAAAACTGATTTAGTTTTTATCATTAAAATAGGTTGTTTATTCTAAACAAGTAGTGATTCAAGCTTGGGACTTAAAGCTCTTACTAGTTTTGATCTGAATTTAGAAAGTTTGAATATGGGGTCTTTTATAGTTACTTAACCATCATTTAAGAATTCACGTAACACTTCTGCTCCGTAATTGTTACTTAAGGAAAGATTGTTATAACTAAAGCAACTCCAGCAACCCACCTGTAATTTCATGCAAATTCCAGACTGCTCCAAGCTGACACTGCAGCAAGTAAGAGTGGCATGCAAGGAGTTGGATAGGGAGCTGAGTAAGATGGATTACCTGTCTGTGGATTTCATTGTCTTTGTCATTTGGGTTTGGATCTTGACAGAAGGATGATCCTCAGCAGTTGTTCTGACCAAACTAGAAAACAATCCTCCTGGAATAACTAGAAGTGGATAGGAACTTTTCTCTATATGTGTTCTCCTTTTGGCATTTTAATGAATCCTTAGAATAGGATAAACTGGCTGTACCTTCTCATCCATGATATTTTCTGCCATGTTAGCACAGAGCAGTATTAGAATTGTGGCAGCAGCAACAGCAGCTTCAGAGAGAGATGTCTTTGAAAATTCCACTCAAAATACACTTTTCATCATAGTTTCAGTATTTATTTTGGTTCCTCAGTCAGTTTCTAACTTTTTATTTGTCAGAGCTATATTGGTTTTTTGAAGACAAACAGAAAAGGAAACTATTAAAAGGCAAGGAATTTTATGATTGTTGCCTTCTTCAGAAAGTTTATATCATTAGCTGATTTTTTAAATGATTTTTTCTCTTACTATTTCTAAACTTTCTTCAAAACATCTGCAACAAATTAAGTTGTCAATTATGATAACAGAAATGCAAAGTAACCTTTCTGAATTCAAGTGAGTTGTGAGAAAAGAAGTCACTACCTGGATCTCTTTTTTAGAGTAATCTAAAAGCAGATGGACACTATGTTGAGGAACTACATTTGGACAAACTGGTTTTTTCCCCCTTGCCAGACCACTGCAGAAATTTATCAACAGCAAGTACATGTAGTTAAATGAGGTCTTCACAATCCCCCAAACTGAAGTACAAATAAGCAACAGCATGGATTTTTTTTTTTTTTTCTTTTACAGCCTAAGAGGATGTTACAATAAGCCCTATAATCATTGACTTAGTGCAGTCTAAGCTCTCCATCTTCAGCTGCTGAGAAGGTCATACCTTGGTTCCCTTATGACCCCATCAGACTCATTTCCTATGTCTCAAAAATCAGTTTGTAGTATTTAAAAAGAGGTCTGTTCTTACACACACCCTCCTAAGACCTGCAGTAGTCCTACAACCTTCCTTCATTGAAAGGAAATTGGTCTCTTTCTGTGTACGTGTAACTTGTGTGAAACACTAATCAGCGATGACCACTTTTGACTTATGGACGTTTGAGAGGCTTCACTGTAGTGTCCGTTGTATCTTTGCACCCCAGCAACAGGGCTGTTTGCGTAGGCTTTTGTAGGCAATTAAAAATCCCTGCTGTAAGAGGACTGGAGCAAGTGGGTGTTGCTGGGACCACCATTACAAATTGCCTTAGGACTTGGCTGCAAGCAGTGTTTGCTTCATCTGTGATAGACCACAGGGACTCAAGGGACACTTTGTCATCTTCTATGTGTAAACTGATTTAAACACTTTCTGAGGTATGTCTTAGGCAAGTGCCGTGTAATTCTTGGCTCCTAAAAATTTGGTAAGTAATTTGTAAGGTCAGGAAGACATGATATAGTTATTTTCTTAATTTTTTAATTTTAAGAGTCAGTATGATTAAATCAAGGTATTTTGCCTCTTCTCATCAGTGCAGGAGAATATGTGTTTTAATAACTCTGTATCCTTATCTGGAAGGTCAGGACCAAGGTATTATTTCAGATGAGCGGAATATGAGTGGAGAAAAGGTAAAAGTCAGAGCCTCTTACTGAGTTACTGGATACCATCAGGCAAAAGGCCATTTGAAGTCTAGGTGTAACAGTGTTCTCACATGAGCAGCCACGGGCAAATGAAATAAGCCACGGGCAAATGAAATAAGCCTCAAGCCATGAGACATCATCTATAGCCTCTGTCATGGTTGCAGTTGAATAATGTGGCTACAGGATAACAAAGGCTCTGTTACATTATTTGCAGTTAATGCATGACTTGTGTTAAGCAAACAAAGAAAGCTAAAGCTTTTTTTAGATGATGAGTTTAATTTTATTTAAAATTATAGAAGATTTAATTAATTATAAAGAAATTTAAGGAAAATTAA